ATGACTGCAGTGAAACAAAACTGACCAACAGAGAAGTAAAAAGGACACTACTACAAAGAGGGTCTTTCAGTCTGGGTGTCTTGATGCTATGTAGGAGGGGTGGGGAGCTTTTACATGTCTGTGCTCAGGGGCCCATTGTCTCATAATCTGTCTGCTGTTGTTCAGTAAAACAAGGAAAATAAAAACAGGGAGGATTATTCAACCCCTGTAGCTCTGAGACTAGCCAAGGCGCACATATAGCTGGTTCACACTAACTTTAACATGTTACACTAGCTATATTTCAGCTGAACATATTTTAACATGTGAAAAGCTACATGCTAAAGTGCCACATTTGACATCATTAAGGATGTGAAAGAAAAGGTGTATCTATTTGTTACTCATTACAGTTGTGTATCTTGTGTGTAATGGAGGCTGTTGGTGTGACTGTAAACCTTTAGCCTGGCCCCTGTCTGGATTTAGTGTGTTTGTAGAACTTTGGACTTTTATCTGACCCTGCCATGTACTAATTTGTACTCAGTTGGTGATACAACTGTAACTTGGGGTTTAGCAGAGAAGCTAATCTCATTAGAGACCAGCTTATTAGCATTCTTGTTCTACCTAAAGCAGAGCAGAGAGAGAGAGAGAGAGACAGAGAGAGAGAGAATGTCTCATTGGTAAACAAATATGTTTACAGTATTTTTTTTACTCAATTTTAAAAAAAGTACATTACAAGTATGAGTCCTTAATTCAAAATTTCTTTAACAGAAGAACAGACAAATCAGTATGCACTTTAAGCATCCATCCATCCATCCATTTTCCTCCGCTTATCCTGGACCAGGTCACGGGGGCAGCAGTCTAAGCAAAGATGCCCAGACTTCCCTCTCTCCAGACACTTCCTCCAGCTCCTCCGGGGGAATGCCCAGGCCAGCCGAGAGACATAGTCCCTCCAGCGTGTCCTGGGTCTTCCCCGGGGCCTCCTCCTGGTGGGACATGCCCGGAACACCTCCCTAGGAAGGCATCAGAAGTACATTTCATAGTATTATGCAGCATATAGTACCGGGTTATCATTACTGATATGTAAGTTGCTCTTAGTGTTGTACCTGGTCTAGGTGAAGATGATTGTAGCCAGTGTCTCTGCTGCTGGTCAGCAAACAAGAATCCAGTTACTGCAGGGCTGAGGAGAAATCTTCAGCCCACGTGTGCATGATGTGACTTTTGAGTGTTTCTTCCTCTGATATGTACATTTATGACACAATCACACAAAAAACACTCATACTATTGAAATATTATTGAAAATTATTAGCAATATACCAACTGTGTTTAGTTTCATACAACAGAACTAACAGGACTGACTTCTAACATACAGGCCCGGTGATATAATAGAAGTCATATATAAATGATGGTTTCTTTTTTTAAACCATATTTAAAAAGTCATTCAGTGTGAAAGTAAATGGATCTCATCAGTAGTGTGCTCAGCGGGTGCTGCTTGGCAACATACAGTATCTGTCACGGTGTTAAAAGGCATCTGAGGAAGAAACATAAGCAGCCTCGAGTTTAAATGTCAGAAGGGTTTAGTGTTTAGTGGCGAAAAAAAGATGAGCTTTGATGTAGTTATATCATGAAGCTACCTGTTTATAAGTGCTTCTTGCTTCAGGTCTTTATCTACCTGTACATGAGTATAATCATTTTATCTGCTATTTATCTTCTGTCTCTTTACTTTGGACTTTTTCTTTTATTTTCTCTTATTTTTTGTTTTTGTGTTTTGTTTTATTTTGTCTTCATCTCCTCTATCTTTGCAGATCCTATCAGTCAATAATCTTCATTGCTCCTCTTTTAGACTGAAAGTCTTTTGGAGTCAACATGTTCCTCTCCACACACATATAAACACTATCTCTCAGTAATCAGCCGTATCTTGTGTCCTTACAAGTTAGCTCTGTTTCATAGCACTCCTGCCTTTTTATGAATTTTTTAAAACCAGCCAAGAAAGGTCTCTTTCCCAGATGAAAAAATTGAGCTCCCACCGTTTCACAGTGAATTCCAGAGAAGCAGCCATTTTTTATTGCTGCTCTATAAATGGGTTTTATCTCAGCACCACCTGCCGGACCTTCACTCTCTCATCCAGAGACAGACTGATCTCTAAAAAACTGGTCAAGTGGCAGGGACACACTTAAGGTGAAAGAACCGCAGTGGGAGGTAACAACATTTTAAATTCGATTGTGTCACAGTTTCACAACCATTAGTTCTCCGTGCATGTACAAAATGTCACTGGCTTTCATTTGAAATATAGATAGGTGACAAATGAAAGGAACAAGCCTGAATGCTTGGCCCCTGTGAAAGGATCCAGTCGTTCTGTTATGTTCTGAGGGCCATTTTGCTGGCATGGTTTGGGTCTACTTGTCCCCTTAGAGGGAAGAGTCACTGCAAATCAGTACAGTGTCATTCTGAGTGAGGCCCGTTATCCTGTGATGAAACATTTCCATCCTGATGGGAGTGGTCTTTTCCAGAATGACAATCCCCCATCCACAGAGGTCACTGAGTGGTTTGATGATGTGACTCCTATGCTATAGGGCCTTCCCAGTCACCAGATCTCATCCCAGCTGAACACCTATGGGAGATTTTGGAGCAACATGCCAGACAGCGTCTCCACCACCATCATCAAAACACCAAATGAGGGAATGTTTGTTGGAAGAATGGTGTTCATCCCTCCAGTAGAGTTCAGAGACTTGTAGAGCTGGTGACTAGGTGCAGTGAAGCTGTTCTGGTGACCTGTGGTGGACCAGCACCCGACTGAGACACTTTATATTGGTTCTTCCTTCTGTTTGTTACCCGACTATGTGTTATACAGTATTTCTGCTGAATAACAATGAAAAATATCATTTTGAAATTCAGCAATCACATCACAGTTACTAATCCAAGTAACGCTCCAGTACTTTGATATTGGGGTTCCACTTGTCCACTGTCTTACTGGGACTTTGATGGAGGGTGGATATTGGTTTTACATGAGTTCAAGTAAAAGAAAATGAAGATTAGTTCACATGGTTTCCTTTATTTTCATTAGTGAGATGATACCTCACAGCGATCTTCCTTCTCTTTATGCACTGTCTGCCTGAATGATTCAGGGCGAGGTAAACATGCTGTATCTCTTCAAATACATGTGCTATTTCTCAAATTCTCCTTTTTCTCCTGAGGCTTTGTGAGGATGTATGAAAGCCTAATCACTGCTGAATTTATTCTAATTCATATTCATGCCACATGAGCAGCCAGGGCACAAACACATTTATGCTGAGATGAAACATAATAGTCATTAGAGAAATTGTCATTTGTTTCCTGCATGTGATGCCTGAATAAAAAACTGTGGGGTGAAAACTAGATGATAGCAAATTCAAGAGCTAAGAGTACAAACCATTTGCTCCATTAAGTTTTTTTAGCAACTAGGCACAGCAGCAAACTTTGTAATCCTCCTGTGGATGGGTTATAAGAAGAAAATTGTGTGATACGAGACTACACAGTGGCACCCATTAGTTTCAATGAAAACTGTTTTTAAAGTGCATAAGCCAAAAAAAAAGTTTTTTATTTGAATCCATCTTATACATCCCACTGCACATGTCCATTAGTGTTTCTCCCAGTGACCCTGCTGACCCAGAATAGTAAAAGCAGTACTTGATTTCTAGAGAATTTGGAGGGTTGTATATTTTATTTCAGTCTTTCCAAAATCAAAAACACAAAGCCCTAGCTCCCTAGTGGTTGCGGGTACAAATGCCCAAATTACTTAACTCACTGTAAAATCACCTACATTGGCTCCAGTACAGGTGAAAGGATGTTTATGACCTGGCCACTACATTGTCCACATGTCAGTCCCATAGAAAATCCTTGGAGATAGACAGACCAGGTCCTGTTCATTATCATGCAGTCTCTTTTCACTGGGAACACATTCATCATGGTGAAGATAACTTCACATTTTGACCGAATTTCCTGTAAGGTCCTCCTCCTCACATTCACATCAAAGGTGTCTGGCCCAGCACCATCAAACTTACTAAGAAGTTGCCCGAGTTTGAGGAAAACTTTTAACTGTGGCACATTTGATTAGAGTATGAAAAAGTACTCTCCTGTGGATGTGAGCCTTAGTCAGGGTGAAGCAGGATCTCATTTCTTTTTTTTTGTCACTTTTTCTATGGAATTTCAAGAAAAGTATGAAAAGGAAGTGAAGACACTTAGGAGAAAATATAAATCCAAGTTAGGGAGTAGTAGTACTAGCAGAAGTAGTTGAAGTAGTAACAGCAGTAGTACAGGAATACGTAGTAGTAGGAGCAGTTGCATCAATAGGCACAGAAGAAGTAGCCGCAGTAGTCAAAGAGTGGAAAAAGCAGTAAAATAGTACCAATAGTAGTAGAATAGCATAACTAAAAGTAGTAGTGGCGGTAAGAATAGCATTAGTAGTAGCGGTTTGTAGTAGTAGTAGTAGTAGTAGCAGCTGTAGTACCATTAGTCATCAAAGTAATAATAATAGTAAATTAGTAGCACCGGCATTAATGGGAGTAGTAATAGCAGTACTACTAGTAGTATCTGTAATCATGGTAGTCATCACCATAGAGTGATAGGTATAGTAGTATCAGTAGTACTGGCAGTGGAAGTACAAGACTTGTGGTGGTAATAGTAGAATAGCCATAGTAGTAGCAGTAGTAGTAACATAAATAGCAGTAGTTGAAGTGAGGCAGTACTATTAATAGTGTAATAGTGGCAATAATACGAGTAGTAGTAGTATACCAGCATAAAGCGCCACAACATTCTCTAAGAGTCAAAAAAGTATTCTGGCTTTTGATAAGTACATTTTTCTGATACTAGGCCAACTTACATACTCTATGTACTTTTTTGGTTGTCACATTCAGACTCTAGACCAGACTGAAAAATGTTAATGAGTTTAGTTTAGTTCCCTTTGCAGCCCAAGAGGTCTCAAAGACTGTAACTTTTTGTTTGTCCTACAACAACACAGCTTATTCTGCAAGTCAGCAGATGCAAGGTGACATGAGATGGCTACTGAAACATATTTGTGTAACTGATTACCTTATAGTTTGTTTTCCTGGTCAAACAGCTGATTTGCCGTCCTGTTGTGCCTGTTAACACAAACCGAACAGCAGCAGATTTGTGCGGATGGATTAAGCCGTTGCGATTTGCCCACTGTCCTACCTTACTCCTTCAGAAACAGCCTAAGACATACTGTCCCACACAATGCACCAAGGCAATATCGGCCAAGTAAATGTACACGAAAAGTAAGGCGACTGACTGCTGGGCACAGCGGATGAAGATTACTGAGGGTTGAGTGGCGTTGCGTTTGGAGCGGAACGCACTGGTCTCAGTGCGGACACTGAACGCCTCGGATGTGCGTCCTCACGGGGGCACTCACATCGACTTCACCTGTAACGCTTCTGCTTACCTCAGGACTGCTGGATACGGCTAAAGGATTAAAACTACTCCGGAGAGAGTCGTTCTCCGTCGGACGAGGAGCCCGTCGCTCCGCGGAGCACGGGGCAACAGCAGCGATCATGTCGGACAACTCCACGGATTTAAGCAGGGACGCGCCGCCGGAGGCTGCGGTCACACACCACAATTTCCCAGCGCTCATATTTGGGATTTTGCTCATTGTGATTATCACCGGGGGTAACGTGCTTGTGTGCCTTAGCGTTTATTTAGAGAAAGCTTTAAAAACGACAACAAACTACTTCATAGTCAGTTTGGCGTTTGCAGATTTGATGCTGGCGGTGCTGGTTCTGCCACTATTCGTTTATGCTGAGGTAAGAACCTATCAATAGTAGCTTTGGCTGGATTATTACAGAATGCATGTAAAAAGAAGAGTGCGTTATATAAGGAATTCATAAAGGACAGATCAAAGAAGGCGGAAGAAAAATATAAGTTATACAAGAACAAATTAATTGAGATTTTGAGCAGATGTAAGAAACTATATTACTCTAAAGTATTAGAGGATAATAAAAATAATATGAGAGGTACTTGGAATATATTGAATAAATTGATTAGAAACAGTTCCAGCAAGAGTAACTACCCTCAATATTTTATGGATAATGATACACCGGTTAATAGATTGGAGGATGTAGTAGATAAGTTTAATAGGTTCTTTGTGAATGTTGGTCCTGGTTTAGCAAGAAGCATTTGTACAGATGATACATCCGTCACTATAAATAATAATACAATCGAAAGGAACATGAGTTCTTCTATGTTTTTGAAGCCCATAGTTGAAAAGGAAATTATAGAGATAGTGAATAAATGTGGTAACAAAACATCTAGTGATGGTGATGGTATCACTTTGACAACTGTTAAATGGGTAATTGAGGGAATATGCAAACCATTAACCCATATTTTTAACATGCCGTTTCGACTTGGGCAGTTCCCTAATAATATGAAAATAGCAAAGGTTATTCCACTGTATAAATCAGGTGATAAGCACAACCTCACAAATTATAGACCG